TAAACTTAGTTATAAAAGAAACTAATGTCAATTAAAGTTTAACATAATTAAAGTCTCTTTCAAATTATCATAAAGATTAAGCTGAATTTTCTACTTAATTGATTATGTATTTCAATTCAGTTAATTAATAGTTGAGTAACATTATATTTATATAATAGTTAGAATATAATTTAATCTTAATTAAATATTAAATTTTTTTTATATTAAATAATAAATTAATAATTAATTATAATATATTTAAATTAAAATAAAATATTTTAATATTCTAATATTTTAATTAATTTTATTATTAATTTATAATTATATAATATAATTAGTAATTATTATTATTAACTAATAAATATGATATTTTTATTATTTTTATTAAGAAGCTATAATATAAATAACTTTATTTTACATTTTATAAAATAAAATTAAATAAAATTAAAAGTATTTTTATGTTTTAATAGATTTATAAATTTTAATCAAATTCATTATGTTTATTTTTCATTTATTTTAAAATTTATCTAATAATTTTAATTATATATTATTATAATTTTTATATATAATTTTATATATTTATTTTTATTATATAATCAAAATTAGTATAAATTTATTTAATCAATTTATTATTAAAATTATTAATATTAAATATTTATATTGTAAATATTATAAATTAATAAAAAAATTAAATTTATAATTTTTAATAGTTTGAAAATAATTTTTATAATAATTTTTTTTAATAATATAATATGATTTAAATTATATTTTTTTTGAATGGTTGATAATATATATTATGATTTAATATATATTTAAGCAATTATTTTTATATAAAAAACCATGTTATTATAGAATTTAGTAAAGTTAAAAAATTAAAGCATTAAGGGGATTTCAAAATGTATAAAATGTATAAAGTTTGATAACTAATCATAAAACCATATCAAAAACGATTGTTTATTAATTAGTCGAGAAAATCCATACAAAACAATACAAATATGAAAATCGCCAAAAATAAACAATAATGGATAAATTTACAAAATTTTTGACCGAAATTAGAAGATGGATTTTGCTATTTTCATGTGATGATGATCATTACCATAATAAATAATATTAAAATTTCCTCCTCTATTTAGTACGAAAAAAATTCTTTTTTGATTATCTAAGAAAAGATCAAAAAAAGGAACGAAATAACTGAAATGTTGAAATGAAATTCGGGAAAATTCCAAATTATGATTCATGTTACTAATAAATTATTATATAACAAGAAAAAACTTGATGTATTATTTATCATTATAAAACAGAGAATTTGATTTACCATATAAAATGTCTTTTTAAGATTAATTTATTCATAGAACTTGAATTAAATCTCGCTTTTTGCTTTCAAGTTTTTTTTTCTTTCACGATTCATGTGAAATTATTTATAATTATTATTATATATGGTTCTCGAATTTACTCTTGTTTTTTAATGATTTGTTTTCCTCATGTGGTTGATTCAAAAAAGAAAACCTGGACCGCAAACAAAACTCCTTAGTTCTTTCACAGCCCATTTTTATCATTACCCTTGCGATTGTTTATAGTAACGCCAGTCTATTCTAATCAATGACTTACCTGATCTTATTAGAATGAAATTATCGAATGATGACTACGCCTAATTTCCTCTTTTTTACTTTTAATTTTTCTTTATTAAGCAAAATAAATTCTTTTGTTTACACCGCCCTTTCTTTTTTCAATCTTCACCCCACCAAAAAAAAAATAAAACCTTTTTTAAATTTTTTCCTTTCTAACTAGAACGATCTACCCCGTTTTCGTGAGAATTTTTTCTTTGAAATCAAGATTTTTTAGATCAAAAAAATTTGAATAAGATAAATAAGTAAATCAAAAACGCGTTTTATTTATTATTTATTGTCATAATGGAGAATATTTATTTTAAGAAATAAATAATTAGTAAATCGATTTTGAAATCTTTTCTGGGGAAATAAGAACTATAATTAAATGAATGATAAAAACTTTTCCAATAAAGATTACTTTTGCACCATATTACATCATTTTTTTTTAAAACTCCATATTCTGAATTTAAAGAACTAATTGATAATGAAATTCTTACGTGAGCATTACCACCGTAGAGAATAGTTTAAACCGAGAATTATACAGAAGCTCGATTTCGCCGAATATTGGGGACATCCGTTTCCATTATTAAATATTCGCATACAATTTCCGATTCAAATTTGGGGGGTTTTCTTTTTTTCTTTTTACTTTTTTCATATAATAAATTATCAAATAAATTTTTTATTTATATTTAATTTTACATTTTTAATTCTCAAAAGAATTGCAAGTCTCTATTTCTAATGCTTCCATTCATGTGAAATATGTTTCGCAAGGGTTCTATTCCGTGAATCCACGAATCGGTTCTCTCGTTGAGATACTGACATACGCAGCAAAGTAAAATTTAATATAAAAAAGGAGTTATGTAATAATGTATTTAAGTAGATCGGTCATTATAGTATAACAACCCATTTTTGATATAATCTAATTCTTACCTAAATTGGATCAATCACATGATAGCATGTGTAATTTTGTAATTTAGGTATACCGAATATACAGTTGACATTATGTCATCTCCTCTCACGTTAATTAATGGTAAATCCTAAATCAAGTCCGCATTAATCCGAAGCGGAAACAAAAAAAGTTTAATTTTAAAAAAAAAATTTTTATTCAACATACACAAATTTTGTAGATCCCGCAAAATGGTTTAAAATAAACAAATTTTGTTAGTATATTAACAATTTAAAAAAATTCCATTTTAAATCTTTCATGTGTAAGATAATGAACGGAGATCGTTGCGATTTTATTTTCTTATTCTTTCCTTCGTATTAATTGACGGCCTAACCTCCTATCAACCTATCGCACCCAAGTATCATCACACACATGAAGTTTCAAATCCATGTAAAGCCCGTGCATTACCGAATCTATATCCACTAATGAAAAAATATACATCCAAAAAAAACTTTCCAAATATTCCCTTTTTTTTTGTTTTAGTAATGGTGTATATGAATATGCATTGCATACATGTTTGTGTCTTTTTTATCCGTTAATGCGTTGCATTTACTAATGTATAATGCAACCTTTGTAAATAATTATATAGTATCCCTCTCCTTTAGGATTTCTAATTTTCTTTGTCGTATAAAATCGGACGTTTTCTTAAAACCAAACGGTCACATCTATACCTGTTACGTTTTATTCTTTGATATTCGCTACTGTCAATATTTAACGATTTCTGAGGACGCCACAGTGATCAAACATGCATAAATTATAATTAAAAGAACCAATATTAAATTATTTTATTCAGCAAAGAAATATTCTGTTTCATTAATTACAAGACTATAAGATTTCCAAGATCTTTACACAAAGGTACAACTTCTTTCATGGCACAATTTCATTGTCAAGTATTTTCCCTAAATCATACAAGAATACACAATTCTTATTTTAAGAGAAATGTAATAGATCTAATGTTAATTGGAACAAATTAAGATAGATATGGATTTAATGAATCACCATTTAAAGAAATAAATAAATGATATCAAAAATGTAAGTTCATTCTTATTTAATCTTTTACTTAATAACTGATCAAGATTGAAAAGATAAAGATTGACAGATATAATGATTAAAAGATAGTTGATTATCAAAATAAAATGGATAAATGCATTTATAACAATTGATAAGAATCCTTAAAAACCCAAATTTTTCAGTTAATCATTTGATTCTTTGATCTACTTAAATTGCAAATGATTTCTTTTAAAAGAAAGTTGGATGGGAAACTTGTTAAAAGACTTGTCAAATTAAATTTGATTTAATTCAAAAAAAATATATTCTTTAAGCAGTATTATTTTCCCATAAAATAAATAAAAATCGCAAAATTTTTGGAATCCGATTTTATTACATATTTGTAATTAATGTTATGTACTATATTAATCCAAATTAAGGAAAGAATGGTTTCTACTTTTTCCCAAATTTACAAGGGTGGGCATAATAAGTCCCTTGCATTTAATAAGGTGGCTTGAAAAAGTAAGACACATGCTAATAAAGAATTTTTTTTAACAAAGGAATGGAATGCGGGGATGCAGTAATACAGTCTCATTTATTCAAATTAAAAAGATGTTAAAAAAGCATATGAAAGGTACATTTTTATCTTCAGTTTTGATATTCCGATAATAATTTATATACAGTTTAAAAAAAAAAAAAAAAATTAAATAATAAAACTTCTTCAACTCCGAGTCGAACTTTTAACGATTAACGGTTTTTGTAACATTTTTTTTTTTTAAAAAAAAAAAAAATTACTATTAGGAGATATATGTACTTTGAAAAAAAAAAATAGCCCTCTTTTTTATATAAATAATTAGTCGAAATACAAATGCAATTCAATTCAAAATAGATTTTTTTTTTATAATAGAGAGTTAAACTAAAATCACTTATTATAACAATAATCAGCTGCTCAACAAACTTAACAAATAAATATACAATATTATGATCAAAGTTTAAATAATAACACAATAGTCATCATAATTGAACAGCATCATAAAAAAAAAAATTATCCCCACAAGAAAAAAAAAATTGCCACTTTCATTTGCTTTTTTTTTTGTACCGTACTTTTTGCCCCCCAGAAAATTTTTAAAATAATAACACAGGTTGTTTCCCCTTGTTATTTATCAGTTTTATCGTAGTATATTTTCCATATTTGCCTCGAAGAAAAAAAACAAACGATTTTTTAAATATCTCTTCATTTCAGAATTTTTCCTTTTTTTATATCCTTCAATTTTCTTCTCTTTTCTCCATTAAAAAAAATTTTCCTCTTTTTTTTTTTGTAAAGAGAAAATTATATTATTAGATTATATCCATTTTTATTTTACTATTCAAGGTTTAGGACCTCTTCCTTTCAACAAAGAAAAAAGGTTTAGTCACCTTTTTTTTATTTTATTTTTACCATACATAAAAGAAAAATAATATTTAAATAGAAAACGGTTTCCATGTCTGCTGAATATTATTCAAAAAGTAATAATACCACTCCACAAAATAATAGAGAGCCACCTCATTTACTTTCTTCGAGCTTTATACAGCAAGAGTTGAACTCTCCAGCGCAAAAGTTTTCAAATATGTCTGAAAATGGATACCATACAGTAACAGATCAATTCGGAATGCATACGCAAACTTCTGTTCAAATATCCGAACCTCCACCTTATGATGGTAATGTGTTTTCTTTAAATAAATATTTATAAATAATAATTGAGGAATAATTTACTCATTTTTTTTTTATTTTTTTCCTTTTTTTTATGTCGTTTTCATTCATATAGAATTTGTTGAATATAATTGGCCAACCGAAATCCCACCATTTTTAGCACAGACACCTGATGATTTCAATAATCAACAACTATTTAATCCGGAAGATACACACTTTTTGCTTCACGACTTCCTTGGTAATCTCGATGAGAATGATAATTTTATATTTGATCCTTCTTTGCCAGGAGATATGCCAATTTATCCAAATTCATCAGATAATCATGATTCATCATCATCACATAATAATGTTTATATTTTACCGCAAGGTCAAGTATCATCATCATCATCTCCCACAGGAGATTTATTAAATCGTCAACAATTTTCTTCTTCAAATTCAACTAGTTTATCACCACGTACATCAAGTATTACACTTTCTTCTTCCCCTCCTCTTCCTTCGCGCAACAATTCTCATAATCATAATAACATTAGTAATGGTGATGGTGGTGATGATATATCCTCTGAAGGAGGAAATGCTGATGGATCATCAACGCCGACCGTCCCGTCTAAACGTAAACAAGAAAATGATGATGAACGAATTAGACGTAGAACTTCAAATCCGAGGTTGAATCCAATTAATACTAAACTTCCAATGACTCAATCAAATAATAACTCTTCAAGACCAATGTCACCTTCAATGCAATTATCAAATCTTTCTATTAATAATAACGGCAATAATAACAACAATAATAATCTCGATCACAATAATAGTCATCATAACCATAATCATAATATTAATAATTATGATGATAGCCCAGGCAATACTCCAAGTAGTAGTAATAATAATTCTCCATCACCGAGTACTCCAAGGGAACTCATTAAAACAAAGGATGAAGATGATGACGATTTATTGAATGCTACTTCCGCAAATACATCAAATATTGACAATTTGAATGATGAATATTCCTCAGATATTAAAACGGAATCTTCAACAAAACCAACGCCACAAAAGTCGAGCAGAAAACCATATAAAGAACTTCTTACTGAAGAAGAAAAAAGAGCAAATCATATTGCTTCGGAACAAAAACGTAGAAATACAATTAGAGCAGGTTTTAAAGAATTAACAGACATTATACCCACCCTTAAAAATGTTAATAATTCAAAAAGTACTATTTTATTTAAGGCTGTAGATTATATTAAATATTTGGAAAGAAGGAATCGTAATTTAAAAGAACGAGCCGGTTTATTAGAAATGAGAGTTGAAATGGAAATGAGACAAGGAAAGAGATTTCATCATCATCATCATCCGCATGGAAACCCATTTGGTCCAACCACAATGGGTTTTGGTCATCAGCGAGTTGCCCCTATGCCAATTAATTACGGAGTTATACCTAATGGTGGTTTGACCGCTATTCCCATTGGACACCATCCCCAACCATCACAGCAACAACACGTTATGGCCCCACATCATCAAATATATTTTGTTCCATCTACTCCATCTTCTGAAAATCCCCCTTCAATGATTCCTGCTGGCAGTGTTGTTTCACCTGGTGTAAATTCAACGAACAATATATTTAGTAGAGGTGCCGCAATGGGTATGCAAATATCCAATATGCCTTTATCATCACAACAAAATCATCATCATCCACAACAAGATAATGTTCCTGGTATGAACATTCCTACAATGGGAAGTGATGATGGTAATAGTGGTGGTGTTGATATTGACGGTGATTCTTCTATGCTTGGAATGAATGGAAATGCTACTCGTGTTGGAGTAAAATGTTAATCTAATCCGTTATTTAAGATGCTGCAGAAATATTCTCTTTCTCTCAATATTATTTTTTTATTATTTAGAAGATTCATTATGTTTATTAAATGTTTATTACCTTCTTTTTTGGCACTTATATATATCCTTTCTTTTAGACATTAGGTATTAAACGCACCCACAAAAGTAAATTTACATTTTATATATAACGATCCTTCATTCTATCTTTAAAAAATAAATGTTGATAACTTTTTTTATTATATATAATTTTTTTGTTCCTCTTCAATTAAATGGTTACCTTTTTTTTTCAAACTAAAATAGTCATTATATATTTTCTTTATCATGTTTTTATTCCTTTATATTGTTAAAATTTTTAATATTCGTTTGTTTATTCTTTTTTTTTTTTTTGTTTTTTTATTTTTTTTTTTTAAAAAAAAAAAAGAAAAAAAAAATTGTATAATACATTTTATTTTTAAATATAACTATTTTTTTTTTTTAATGAAGTAACAATTTATATTGCAACATATTAGATGCATGCTAAATTCTAATCTTTTTTCGGTAATTTTTCCCGCTTAGGTTTTATATTAATTCTGATCAGAATTATTAAATTTCGGTTGCACAACATTAGTTTTAAGGAATATATATATAAATGTGTTTTTTATACAAAATATTTGAATATTTATAATTTTCCTAATCGTTTTTTTTTGAGATGTTTATAAAGGTTGTATGATTTAGAAAATTAAATGCTTTTTCTTATATTTCATCAAAAAAAATTTAATCAATAATAATATATAGAAGGTTTGTTGGCAAAATGGGATTCTGAGATTTTTTTAATAATTAATATTTATTAAAAAATTTTCAGAATCCCATTTTTTTTTTAGCAAACCTTCTAAATATTTAATGTATTTAATTAAAGAACTTTTATCAATTGATAATATATATTTTTACTAGTTCAGTTTTATTATTTAAAAAAAAATAATTAAGCATTATTAAATAATCAAATTTTTTTAAAAAAAAAATTATATTAATAATAGTGAAATTTTTTATTAAAATTAATTTTAAATAGTTTTTAAAATAAATGATTATTGAAAAAAACCTATTTAAATTTAACAAACCTAAATAATATTAATATTAAAAATAGTTTTCATAATTATTTTTAAAATTTCATTTAAATTGTAAAATATATAAATTTAATTAAATTATCCCTTAAAAATAGTATTAAATTTAATTATAAAATTTATTATAAATTTATTATTATTAAATAAATATATACAAAATTTTCAACTTTAAATTTTATAAATAAATAATATTTAAATATATAAATAAATGTTTTAAATATAAATTTATATATTTTGTAAAGTTTTTTTAATAATATAAAATAAATAAAATCTATAAATTTTAGCTTTTATAAAGTAAATACTTTTATTAAAAAATATTCAAAACCTAATTTTAAATTAATGTTAAAAGTTACTAATTAATGTAAATTTTTTTTTTTTGATTTACTTAAAAAATATTATAAAGTTTATTATAAAAATATTATTTTTTTGATGATTAATTTTTAATATATTAAAATAACTTTAATTAATAAGTAAAATTCCTTTTAATTTGAAAGAAAAACTATTAAAGGGATAAATTATAATATAATTACCATTTTTTATTTGATAATTGCAATACTATTTTTAATTATAAAGATATTTAGAATTTAATAAAAATAATTAATTACTATTTTATAATATTTACTTATTTATAATTATATAATGATTTTTGATTATTTATTATTATATAAATTATAATAATAAATAAATATTTGTAAATATTATCAAATTTTGATATATTCATTCTTTAATATTATTTTTATCTTTAAATAATTTATTATATTCTTAAATCATGCTTCTTTGCAAGTTTACTTTTAGTAAAATTATTAATAATTAAATTATTAATCATATTTGAAACTTCTTATTTATTCATTTTCTTTCTCAATTTTAAATATTTTACTATGATTAAATTTATATTCTTTTTTAATGTAATTTCAAGAAAATCTTTAATTTTATTATTATTATAATCAATAGAATTTTGTATTGCCTTTTTTGATAAGCCATACAATCTTCTATATTTTTGTCTTTTTTAATGCTTATGGATTTTAAGATTAGATCTAATAATATTTAAATGCTAAAATATTATCCTTTAGATTATTTAGCAGACAAATTTGCTTGTGAAATTAAAAATAAGCATTAATTTCTTTAATAAAATATTAAATTTTAATTTTAATAATATTATTATTATATAAAAAAAATTTAATTCATATATTTTTATCAACTTTATTAATAAAGATTTTAAGTTTTTTAAAAGGTTTTTAAAATAATTTAATTTTAAAATTAAATTTCAAAAAATTTATTATAATAATTTTTTAAAAATTTTTTAAAAATTTATATTTATGTACTAATTGAATCACTTTATCATTAATAAAAGTCATAAATTTTCTTAATAAATTATAAAAATTATAATAATAAAGTTTTTCTTTATAACTTTATAATATTCTATTATGATTAATATAGTTAAAAGTAAATTCTAAAAAGTTTGTTATATAATTTTTTTTTAGAAATAACAAATTTTTAGCTTCTAAGAAACATTAAATTTTTTTATTATATAATTAAAAGATAATATTTGTTATATTATATATTTATAAAATTAATTTAAAAAAAAATTTTTTAAAAATATTAATTATTTATAAAGAAGATAATTTATAGTAAATAAGTAGGCAAATCTGTCTGCGAAACCCTACAATCTAAGGGATAATGAATAACTTGGTAAATTTTATAAAAATATTCAATTTGTTTAAAAAGAAGGAAATATTTATATCACCCTATTATGATAACTGCTTATATGTTACATTTAGAATAAAGTAGAAATACAGATTTAAATGATAACTGATTTACAAGCATTTACTAATAAATGGTTTGAATCTGTAAATTATGAAAGATTTAGATGTATCAGTCCTCTGTGTGATGGCAATCATGAACGAAGAGTGAACAGCAATTGGCTATCAAAATTTTTTAATTCTCAGATTTAGAAGAATTTATTCATAACAAAAATCTGAAATCGTTTACATAATAATGATCGCGTTAAAAAGTTGGTTTAAATTTATGGAAATCTCTGGATGTATGATGAAAGGCAAGAAATCTACAAATTATAAAAATAAGGTGATAACGTTCTATTGAATTTAACGCATAAATAATATATATATTACGGTTAATTGAAAATTAAAAGCTCCGAACTTTACCAATTGATTAAAATTTCCATTTATTTTTTATACAATATTTAACAAAAACGATTATTTATAAATATTAATATGATCAATAAATCATTTTAATAATTTTTATTAATTATCAACAGAAAAGAAATTCTATTAAAACATATTTATATGAAGTCAAAATTCCCGTGATATGAATAAAAAATATTATAAAAAAAAAAAAAATTCTCTAATTGAAAAATTAAACATCAAATTAAAATGAAAAAAAAATAACTTTTTTTTTAAAAAAATAAAATACAAAAAAATATTATAATCTTTTCCAATAAACATCCAACATACACCTTTTTTACAAACTACAAATAAATTGAATACAAATGTCTTCATTAAATCGATCAGCGGGAAATATAGTAAATAATTATTTTCAAGTTTTTTTTTTTTTTTTTTTGTGGGATGAAATTTTTGACATATTGCAAAATAAGATAATAAATGATTACTTGTATAAATTCATTAAGTTGAGTTTAGGAAAAAAAATTAATTCTAAATAATATTAGGATTTTTGATATAATAAATATAATAAAATATTCCGATCCAAGATGTGGTGGTTATTAAAGTTTTCCTTGAAGAATCAATTCTATACAGTTATTAATATACTCTTTCTTTAAACTCATATCCATGCCAAAGTATTGGGATAAGTCATCACGAACTTGTTTCTTTGTAATTGACATTAGGTTAGCTGTTGATAATATATTTCGAATTTCTTGAAGAATGTCTTCATCTGAGGGAAAGTCGGAACCTTGTCCACCACCTTCTACCATACTAACAGGTCTCGATCCAAGTGTTGTAACGGCTCCATAAACATCATATTCAGCACCACGTCCGATACCATATACGGATCCTCTCTGACTCATTTCAGTAGAATAATTACGAGACATCCTTGGATCACTACTGGCAAACGGAGGTGCAGGTGATCGAGAGCGACCTCTTCTATTACGTTCATCATAATAATCTCCGGCAACTGATCCAGCAACTGATCCAGCTTTTTTAGCGGATCTGCCACTTCGGTAAGAACGATCCGAAGCTCTTGAATGTGCGGAATCTTGTGATCCTTGTGTGCCAACTTCCCATAATTCTTGTTCGTAATCTGACCATTTCTTCTTAGGTATGCTCTTTGGATCAAATTTGCCTTCGTCCGCTATCAATGCCTTTTTACCCTTTTCACCTATAACCATACGTGTATTACCCCATGAGAAGTCATCAAAATGCCAGAATGCATAAATAGGCAAGTAAAAGGAGAAAACGGGCATGGCAATTATATAAACAATCATCCAACCAACATGTTCCCATTTACGACGAAGAATAAATATAAAGGCTTGAAGACCATATACAGCGGCCAACAACATTATAGACGTAATTGGAACCAATGAAGGATACTTTATAATGTGATAAATCAGATATAAAAAATATGCAACAGTTGCGGGCATAATAAGGGTAGCAAACAAATCAATCATGACCACAAAACGCATAGAGAAACAACAGAAACCGCAAAGTTGAGGTAAGAAAACTAGTTCCATAAGATTGTGTACAGTAGAGTTGATCCATCGACGACGTTGTGATAAGAGCACAGACCATTGATCAGGAGCAACAGTTTTACATTGTGCATCTGGAACAAATGTCATCTTATAATTGGGAAAATGTTTCATCATTAAAGTTGTTAAATAACGATCTTCACCAAGGTGAAGTAAATTCTTCTTGTGTAGAGTATCGACCAAATTTTCAGAGTATTCTTCAATGAGTTGGTTGCTGACCAATAAAGGTTTATGGGAATCTGGTGTACGGACTCTATACATACAAAAACATCCGGGCAAACAAGTAACGCTACCGAAAAGTGATTCAAAAGCTTTTGCAAGATGATGAGAAATATAATACTCGTATACTTGAATCATAGTAACCCAAGAGTCTTTTTCGTTAGCAAGAGTCGTTTCACCACAAAGTCCCATTACTTTGGTATCATGCATAAAAGCGGAAACGAGACGATTCAAAGAATCTGGCATAACCTCAGTATCGGCGTCCACCATAAGAACATATTCGTAGAAACTTGGATTTACCCCAATAACATTTTTGATTTGATGATACATTTCCAATTCTAACGGAGTCATTTCAGAATTGAAATGAACCTTATTCAAGAATCTCATTAGGATCATTTGAGAATCACGTTTACCACGGTTACCAGGTCGAGATCTTTCGGATGGTCTTCCAACTTTTACTACTACTAAATAAGGAACAACATGTCCATTACATTCGTATAATCCAGAATATACTTTGCCCATATTATGTTGTTTGGCACCATCTCCAAGAGAAAGAAAACTGAGAGGTTCAGGATCAATATTTGGATCAACTCCTAAAATATCCAAGACGATACGAGGCGTTGGTCTGTCGTTACCGCTACCGACAATCATTCCATCACAAACAATAAATAAAAGCTTGCGTTTGTCGTCATATCTTAATACGGCCAAAGAATCCAAAGTTTTACGCATAGATTCATCACTTTCAGTATAACAGGGAACTTGACAAATAACAAATTTATCATGTTCTTCTGGTTCTCTCCTTGAACCCAATTGCAATGCTGCTAAAAATTTGAAGAAAATGACAGCAACCAATACAATTGAAAATGCGAGTAAAATATAGTTTGAAAATAAACATTGCGGAGAATTACGATGATCGACTTTTCCGACATAAAATAAGTTTCTCAAACAAACTTCTTGACGATTTCTAACTTCAGGATCAAGTAATAAACTATTATAATTCTTTGTGAGATCCAAACCATTAAAACTTTTGAAAAGGTCAACAATTTCAGGAAGCAGGAAATCCGTATTAACGCCTTCAACAGGTGTTCCACCTGGACCCAATGCTTGACGACCACCAGTTATGTAAGGTGTTAAATCGTATATATTATCATTAAGAATAGCAATTTGTCTTCTATCATTTTCTCTAATTGCCATTTCTTTGACTATATGTGCCGGTATTCCTACTTGACCTACAAGGTACAACGATCTCAATCTCATTAAAACTTCTGTAAAGTACCAATCTGGTCGATAATCATTGTCAGAAGAAGAAAATCGGAAATCGTGATATTTAGCATTGTCGTCCTTGGTGTTATTGCCGGTAAAGTCAAATGTAACAGCCGGATCAACAAATCCGTCAATTCCGTTACAAAGAGCGCTAACTTGAACAGGGAATAATTGTGATACATCATTTCCACCGTATGCCAAAATTGTGTCCGTATCAACCAATGGTGGGAAATGGCGAGGTGCAAATGTGCTCAATTGATAAATATCACCACGAATTGAGACTAGAGTATCGTCAGGATTATCTTTAACATTATGGGAACTTAGTTCTTCACCAGTGTAAATGTGAACTTTTGGACAAATCAATTCACCCAAGAAAGCGAGAACAAAAATGATCATAGCTGAAATCAAAGCAATAATGATGCAAAGTGCGACCTTTTCACGCCATGCCATTTGAATGTCTTTTCTTTTCATACGACCGCACCAACTCAAGAAACAAGGAGGAACCCACCAGGTAAGGAGCCAAGTGAGGAATACCCATTTCTTACGAGCAGCAGTAGTCTTGTGAGGCTCTTCAGGTTCTTCTTCTACTGTATCACCCCCTTCTTCTAACTTCTTCTTTGCTCCCAATTCTTTAAACATATTGTGTGATGGTGCATACACTTCTGATCCAAATGAAGAACCATTATCATCATATTGACTTACTGAATCATCTTGATAAAAGTCATCTTCAGAAAAGTTTGAGCGAGTATCATCAAAGGACCTTTGATCCAATGCTTTTGGCGGAGAAAGGCGAGGGTAAGAAGTAGGAGATAAATTATCTTCGCCACGGGTTGTACTTGCGACTGCTTTCTTATCTTTCTTCTTGCGTTTTTCTTCACCATCCATATTACGTAGATTGTCTTCCAAGTTACGCCATGCGGTTTCACTCAAATATGTCTATTAGAATTCATTAGGATTTAGTCAATACATTATTATGTTTAAAGATCTTCTCAATCGTCTTAAATTTAAAATAATCAACAAACCTTATTTTGACCAACAGCCATATCAGAACTTGTCCAACCAAATATAGTACAAGAAGCTTCACATTTTGCTTTAGGATCTCTCGATTGATCAATTCCCATTGAATCCAAAATAGGCTCATATCTTTCTAAAAATTCCTGGTGGGTGAATTCAATGGTATAATCTATTTGTAATTTCTTTGCAATTTCCGGTAATCCAAATGATTTTACTTGAGATTGTACAACTCTTGAATCATATTGATTAGGAAGTTGTGAATCATTTGGGCGAACACAGACAACATACCAAGAAATTGTGTCTTCAAGCGTTTCACACAATTCACTTAAAGCCGAAGAAATTTGAGTGGCAACACAAGAAACCTTTGGTTTTGAAGATAATTCTTCGGAACCGGGTTGACTTTTTTTACGGCGCATTGATGGAGCGCGCATAGGCTTGGCAGATTGTTGGGCCGAAACGATAGTATTATCATTTCGAGGATGGGATTCTGTAGAAACGGCCTTATCGGTGAATAAACCAACGATGAAACTATTTGAAGTGGTACTTGCTCCGGTACTATTACGGAATAATGAGACAAAATCGGCACTGAGGTTATCAGTATTCTTTTCAAGGAATCCCGTGGCATTATAGGTAACTTGACCGGCGAAATGTTGAATACCAAAAATAGGAAGAGCGTTCAAACTTTTGCCAGCAGGTGTAAAGGAGTTGTGTTCTGAATATTTTTTACTGAAAGTGTCTAACATAGTATTATCAGTTTTACGAGAAGATCTATTGGCAAGTTCATCCATTATTGCGATTAAACCTGATGAAGGATGAGAGATCATTTGAAGGCACGCCGAATTGTCGAAATAAGGTATATCAGGAACATTAATCCCTTCCCCGGTAAATTCATCTTGACGTGATTCAAAAATTTGTTTTAAAACGAAATTATGAATTTTTTCATTGGCAAAATTTACACAAAATTGATCAAGAGAATTTTCTGTAAAATTTTGAAATCCAATAAAGTCGACAATACCAATAAAGTTGGCAAAATCTTCTTGACAAAGTTTCGTGTTAATATATTCTACGATCCAACTAAATAATAAAGAATAAAGTGCCTTCACCAAATCATCCCGTTGAACTGAAGCAGAATCCACGTCCAAGAATATTGTACATATTTCTTTTTTGATTAATTTAGTTTTATATGTAAGTACATTCTGAAGAGCCTGTGGATCTACTCCTAAAAAGTCCGCAACTAAATCTAAAACCTCATTATTTTTTACGAAAGCTGCTTCTTTTTGTCTGTTATTTGGATCTTGAGCAAATTGTATATTACCTAAATGTAAAATAGCAGCTAAAAGTTGAAACATTTGAGCTACATGTTTTTTATGAAATCCTAGAGATTTTAAAGCTTGTTTTAACTCATTAAAATTGTTCATATCATCAACATTAGGTCCTCTGGTCCCTTTTGGAACATTAAGATAACGATATTGTGAAGCATCAGTAAGATGAAGATGTGATTTCTCATCTTGTGAAGCTCCAGCGATTAAATAATAAAATATGTGAAAATTTCGTTCATTTTGAAAAGATTTGACGATTCGATTTTTTTCCAATAGGTAATCAAGTGTTTTAGCGCCAATTAATCTACCTCGTCCGTTAAATTGGAGTTCAGTATATTTACCGAAACGAGAAGCATTATTATTAATATTTGTTTTGACGTTTCCAAATGATTCTAAAATGAATTCCGAGTTAGGAATTTTATTTTGGATTTTGGAATCTTTTTTTTGATGTGAACTTAAAGCGGCTAATTGTTTAACCAAAAGTTTCCGAGTTTCTGATTTTCCACTGCCCGATTCTCCACTATCAATTCAATGTTTATAAAATAAAAGGGGATTAATAACTATTTATTGAACGAGAAAACAACATCATTAATTTTTTTTTCTACATTTCGAGTGATAAACTTACCTTAAAATGATGGACTGATCTTGTCCAGTTCGTCTCATGTGTAAATAAGCTTGCGAGGAAAGTTGAAAGGCATGTGGAGGCAATGAAGCTCTTTGACCCGAAGTATCTTTATAGTCTGCAACATATTGTTGAATAGTTATATCATTAAATATGGGGAGAGGTTTATAAGGATTCACCGCTACGAGTACGGAGTGGTTTATACGTGTATAAATAATATCATTTTGATAACGTTCGCGAATCGTTGAAGTTATTGTATCTTGAGATATATTTTGTATTGTTGAAAGGTCTGCTTTATCCTCCGCTGAGGAAGCATTCTTTTTTTTACCCATAATATTGGGTTTCAAAAACTATTATATAAATATTTTTTTCCTTATTTTTTATATTTTTTATATTTTTTTTTTTAAAAAAAAGAATTTATTATAAGAAAATAATAATAAAAATGAAAAAAAACCCTCTCTTTCTCTTAAATAATATTAACCCTTCAACTTGTTGCAAAGGAAGAAGGAAAGAAGGGGTAAGGGGAGGAGGATAGGTTTAGGAAGGATGATTAAAGTATGCAATTAAAGTGTTACTTGAAATTTGTGTATAATGGGGTAATGTATTTCAAGCAGAATATATTTATTGATCAATTAAGGATAGGTTCAACAACAGTTTATTTATAGTATATGTTATTCTTTCCTTGCGGCTAAATTTTTTTCTTTAAATTCAATTCGAAAAAACTATTTATTATTATGTAGATGATTTGATTTTAAATTACACAACCTAAAATAATCAAAAGAAATAATATCTCATACATACATTAAAAAGTGTGATGGCTAAAATGGGCATGAATCTACGCAAGAGTTATGATTTGTCCACTTTTTTCTTTTTCTTTTTTCATAAATAAATAAATAAATAAATTTCTCTTACGATGTGAGAATTAAACGAAAAAGAACGAGATAGAAAGATGAAACGATTCTTTGATTTTTTTTTTTTTTTTTTTACCAATAAATACCTTTTACTTTATTTTAATGTATCTTATTTAAATACATAGGATAGGTAGGAAGAAACAGGTCATCGATTTGAAAAAAAAAAAAAATTTTTTTTTTACTCGATAACGGGATATATTAGATGTTTCACGAATTTTATATTGCTCAATCATATAATATTGAAATGATAATATTTATCTGTTATGCATGATCCACGAGGAAATAAGAAAAATAATATTTTAAAAAAAGAAAAGAAATGAAAAATAAAAATAAGATTCGAAAACTAGGCTTAATTAATATCATAAATATCATCTAAAAAAAAAATAAAATAAAATAAAAATACCATTTTAAGAAGAACAAAATCGGCAAGGTATATTTTGATTAAAAGCTTGAGGGGCGAAGTGCACGGGAGGTATTCCAACATAGCATTCGGTCGAACGAAATAACAACTATAAATAGAAAAATTACAGAATTTTGATCAGCCATACATTTTTATCTGGGAATGTTAATTGATCTTTTATTATTGTTTGGAATTTTTTTTTTTAAATTAAGATCATCAGTATTTATAAATAATGTTTCTGAAAATGGCACGATCATTTTGATCAAAAAGGGCAAAAGATTTTCGCTTGCTAAAACATTTTAATCTAAGCCTTTAAATAATATTTTGGGAAAAAAAAATAAAGAAGTTTGTGTTACGCAAAAATAGTATGACAGATAATATATTTAACGATAACTAATTTTGGAGAGAAATCATATGTAGTTTATTTTTAATCAATTGTCATCGAAAGAATCGGTTAAAGACAAAACGTTCATGCGAATATTTTATATCCTGCAAAAATAATAATATTTATTTTTTTATCCAGGACAATTAAAATTAGAAATCTAAAAATATAAATACGCCCTAATTAAATTACTGTCAGATATTAGTAACTATGTTCACACCGACCGTCCCATCGAATGACGTAAAAACCAATAATCCGGATTTATTTATATGCCAGTCAATAGACGCCACAGGTTGCCCCGTTACAATTGCGCTAGCCATCAACTTCAATGATTTGCTTTTTATCTGATACAGATTGATTGTTCCAGAACTAGTCGAAGACATAAAAAAATCTATCGCTTGGGGAACATGACGAATACACCAAATTGTTTCATCTTCCTATATGATAACCGAAAAGTTATTTTTTTTATTTTTGAAATCAAAAAAATATATATATACAATTACTTTGCTTGCCTGTACTCCGATGCTTAACGGTTTTGGCTTATTCTGATCGATGATTTCAAACACGTGTATGTTTTTAAGGGAGCCAATAGTTAACCTATTGAGTTTTGTATATTGGTGATCAAACTCCAAAGAAGAGACCTATAGCAAATAAGTCAAAGGTTTTTATAAAACAATTCGGAAAAAAAAAAACTTTAATGGAATTCGGGAAACCATACCCCAGATGGAATTTTTAATTCCGATAATATCGACATTGCCTTTAAATCAAATAATTTTACTTCTCCATTGTCATAACCAACTGCCACTACTCGTTCTTCATTATTCCACGCGTTTCCTACAGGAATTAATATCATAATATCAAGTCTTTTATAAATACCATTCTGTATATATGTGTCCAATAGAAAACAAAAAAAATAATAATCATAAAATGCACGTACCAAACGCAACACACCAAGCATCACCTGCTTTTTCGGCCGAACCAATTTTAACGACAGGTTGATTCTTCTGTCTAATATCCCATATTTTGACGGTTCCTAAACTGATCCAAATTTGGCAACAAATAAACGTGTCAATTGCTTTAAGAAATTAGGAAAATTTCATTCTAATTTCATGTCTTACCGTCTCTGCTTGCAGTTGCTAATTCTGGTGGACCATGTGAAGATGTAATGGATCCGCCACATCCGGCAATATCGTTAATAATACTAGAATGAGCTTTGATAGAAAATACTGGCGCCTCAGTATGTTCAAGATCCCTAAAATATATATATATATATATATGACGAATTTAACGATAGAAGTAAAGATTTCGTGTCTTGATAATTAATTACCATAGAGCAAGGCGTCCATCAAAGTCACCAGTTGCCAAATGTCGCGCATTAAGGCTTGATGCACCAAAAGTTCCACATTTTAGTGCGCCTCCGGTTTCACGCTATTTTTATTCTAAAGTATAAGAATCGATAATAACACAAACGTTTTCTAAAACCTGTTGGTAGCAATCAAGATAATTTACCTCTTCAACTAATACTATTTCTTGTTCATCAAGTTCATAAACTTGAAATAAGCCAGTGCCTCTAGGGTGCTGCCCTAAGACTACAAATTTGGCTGAAGAAGGTATCCACCTAACGGCATATGTGCTATCCGATCCGGAAAGTGTTATTTATGCATTCAAACATGAAAGATCAGAAATTTCGCAGAAAAATTTTTTATTATTACCCGAATGACAACTTTTTAGTTAAATGAGTAAATATTTCTGGTTTTTTCTGAGCCATCATCCTTCTATGATCTTATTTATGAGGAAAGAAAATGTCGAAGCTTATCGAGATGATAATCTTATTTAAAGATCTGCAATGCTAGAGATTGTGTTACAACAACAAGGTCAACAAGGGTAATTACCAAGTTGATGCGCGCGTTGAATCAATTTTTATTTCAACTTTTTTTTTATTTATTTAGGAGATAATATGATATGGTGGAAACACGAAATAGTAAGCTGAATCAAAACAAATCAACCGTACGAACAGTAGGAAAAAGGACATTAAAACACATTGAAACTGAAATTTCAACACAGCCTACAAAACGCGCTCGTAAAAAAAAAGAAACCATTGTTAAGGAAGAGACTGTAGAATCAGAATCAGGCGTGACAAAGATTGAACCGACGCAATCTAGAATTCATACGAAACTTGCAGCTCAAGCATCCAAGAAAAGAGCAGCGATACTTGTAAAATATTTACGAGTTGAAGAATATGACCGCGGAGATATTATTTTGGGGATAAGAGTGCCCGATGTTAGATCAATTTCAAAAGATCTTGGCTTTTTGCCATTTACGATTCTGAAAGAACTCATAAATTCAAAATATCACGAGGAAAGGCTATTATCGGTGATTAACTTGGTTGATAAATATAAAATCTCTAAGGATCCAGAAGAGAAAAAAAATTTGTTTGAATTCTATCTTAATGATATGAGAGAGGGTATTGATAATTGGGATTTGGTTGATATATCGGCAAGTCACGTAGTTGGTTCTTATCTTATAGATAAGCCCGAACTTAAAAAAACATGGCTTTTTGAAAGGTTGTTAAATTCAGAACGCCTTTGGGATAGGAGAATTGCAATTGTGTCGACATTATATTTTATTAATCAGGGTCAGTTTGAAGATACGACAAAATTGTCTGAAATATTATTAAATGATGAGAAGGATCTAATTCATAAGGCTACAGGATGGATGCTAAGAGAAGTGGGCAAGGTAAATCTAAATAAAATAACTTCAAAAGTTATAATACTAGCAAATTTAAAAATTTAAAAAATAATTCTATTCTATAGAAATCTAAGAAAAATCTTGTTAATTTTTTGGACAAATATGCAGTTAAAATGCCAAGGGTGATGTTAAGGTATAGTTTAGAGAAATTTTCTGACCAGGAAAAGAAAAAGTACATGCAAAAAGGAAAAAAGTAGAAATCTAAATATATTTCTATTTCGAATGGTTTAATTATATTACAAGAAAAGTTGATGGAAAAACCTTGGATATTTTTATTCGACCTACCTATGAACGCCTTGTCTTTTTACTTTTACGTGTTGACCTCCTTTGCTTTACATTGTCAGAGTTGACTTCTTCTTTTATAGATGATGACTCGTTTAACTCGTTTGTTATTATCTCTTGACTCTATTCATTTAAAATAAAATTTTTAAATTCAAACGTACATTTTTTTTTTTATTAAAAAAAAAAAGAAAATACCTCTTCGTGTTTCTTTTTCCGTATTTCGACTATTTGTGCTTGTACATTTGCTAGTTCATCTTGCAAACGACGAAGCTCTTCATATTTTGCATTTAGGGCTGATAACATAATGTTCAACAGATAGTTATTAGAATTCGTCAACGCGTTTGATTTTCTCGTTAAACGTTCTTACTTGTCTGTGGCTTTATTTGTAATGGTTAATAAAAGTTTAAGTAACTTATTTACGTTATAAAATTTTTATGTCTAAAGAAATCATTGGAATGTAATACCTACATCTTCCGGTTTTGGTAATTCTATCTTGTTCCATTCTTCTTCCGGGATCTCGAATCTATAAAAGTAGTAATTAACATATTAGATGTATAAAATGGAAAGAAACCTTTGATTAGTATACTTTTCATTCACTTACAATTCCTTATTTTTTTGAATTCTGCGTTTGATTTCTTCACGTGATGGTCTATCTAAAAACACATAAGGTCAATTAACTTGGAAACCGTTAAGGATTCGTCAAATCTATAAATTACAGGAAACTTACTTCCAGTATTGACAATGCAATTGTTTTTGCGTTTTATGTTTGGTCCTTGGATTTTTGAATTTTTTTCTCCAATGACCAACGGGTCAATATGCAAACCGGCAAATTCTTTTTTTTTTTTTTATTATTATTATTACAATAGGAATTATATTGGAATTCTTTTAAAAATGCGTTGACAATAAATGAAAATTCAACTTTTTGTTACTACCTGCTGTACTTTGCTGACCCAACATTCTTTGTAATTGCAAATTCATTTGAGCATTAGTTTTTCCTGGTAGACAATTTGAGCCAATAATTTGTGCCCAATTTCCAATTCCATATTTCATGAGAGCTTTCCGTAAAATGTCGCATTCTTCTCGGGACCAACCTAAGAAATAAGTAAAATGTTTTATATTCATTATGGATGATATAATCTTTCAGCTATTTGAAAATGTTACCTGGGGAAAGTGTACAATTCCAAAGACTTGCCGAGTCATTTGAACGCAACACATTTCGAGGACCAGTTGGCATGCTCTGAGGTTTTTTGGTTTCTTCAACAATTGGAGTCATCATTTATTATAATAATAAAGAAAGATTATTTGTATTTTTATATTATTTTATTTTATTTTATTGTTTTTAAGGAAGTAATGGTTTAACAATATTTAATAAGATATAAACGAAAGAAAATTGTATTAGTTGCTGAAATCGTTCAATTAATTTCGGGAGTTTTTTTATCAACACGCGTTTATAAATTAGTACGATCGGCAAAATTCCCGGATAAATTCCGCGGAACACACATCGGATTTCCGGATTTCACGCGTCAAATTGCTCCCAAAAAGGATGTTCTAATACATTTTTCATTTCTTTTACGATAACTTTTCTGTTTTCAATATTGTCATCTATATCGTAATGTAAATAATGTAATACATTTATATCCATTTCTTTTAAATAATTATACAACTTATCATAATGCAATGCAACCTTTAAAACCCCGTGACTATCATCTGAAATTGTACACTTTCCTCCCTTTTTTAAAATCATCTTTAAAAAAAAAATTAAAATAAAAATTGTTAAAACTTCTTTCATGTGAAAATTTCATCTTACAAGTTAAAAGATTAACTCACTTGTAAAATATCTCGTTGTGGGTAAGCATCAGGTAATCCAACTTTAAATCCCGCAGAATTAATTTCAAATAAACCACCGTAATTTACAACATAATCTATATTCCTCTCAACCTTTTCCCAAATCAAGTCAGTTAAAATAAAATTAGGACGATATATTCTTATTACATCAAAATGTCCAATAATCATTGGGTTAATATCTTGTAACATTTGATATTGAGAATCAAAATACGCTACAAATAAATTTTCCTCATGAATATTTCCATTATTTTGTTTATTTTCTCCAGCAGATGACTTTGAAAGGGCAATTTCAAACAATTCCAAGTCAAAATCAATTGGAGTTTCGTGTACATGATGAACGGATCCAACACAATAATCAAGTGAATATTTCTTTATTAAATCGAGAACTTCAGAAGTCGAAGAATTGGTTACTGTCTCGGATTCTAAACCAACTAATAGAGTTATTTGAGATTTATATTTTTCCTGTAACCTACGTGCTTCTTTTACAAATTCTTCAAATACTTTTGATAAATCCGATGGCTGAAGATGAGACTAATATAAAAAAAAGGTAAGTAAATATATAATATAAAACCATTTTTCTTTATGATTTACCTCTTCTGGATATAAATCTTGTACTCTATATCTTGGACAATGTTCAGACAATCCATATACTAAAAATTTCTTTTTAATGGCCTCCTGAACGATCTCCTCTAGCATTCCCGTCGCATGTTGACAAAATTGACCCGAATGACTGTGAAGCGAGAAAGGCATGGTTTCGCAAATGTACGAACAAAAAGTTCCAAACTTGGGCTATTTCTTGTATCACAAAAATTCAACCAATAATATTTTAGTTTGAAATTGAAAAAAAAAAAAATAACGCGTGAAATTTTTGACAAATGTTTGGGTCGTATAAAAATATCAGGCCAATCAAATCTAGGGATGTTAACGAACTCAGGGAACGGTTTGGATCGATAGATAATTACCATAACGAAATAATGAATCGACTCAAACTAGGGATCAACAATTGAGTCGACCCGTATTCTGGATTTGTTAATAAAATAGAAAAGTTAATATATGTAAGCTTATAACAAAACCTCACTTGATAAAGTTGTAATATAATCTGCTAAAAAAAGGTGCTTTTTCTTTTATCAATCCCCAAGAATCAAATTTCTATTATGTTGTAAATGGGAGAAACAAATAAACTTTTTCAACCAGAACTCGGAATAAATGTGATGTCATGCATTTCTTTTACATATACCTAATACACGATTGCTTTAGAGCATGACCAATGTTGCTCTTTTAACACAATGTTATAATGATGTGCAATATCAGCGAAAGAATCGGTAAAAGCATTGTAATTTCGAACTTTAGCTATTCAACAATTGTCAAATGGTGGCGGAGAATCAAAATAGAAATACAGCGGTTGTGCGTTTATAATACTTTATTAAATTTACAGTAATTAACACGTAAACGAGAAATATTCAAAAAATAAAAGGGTTCCGTCATAACGCTTGTTTAAAATCTATAAAATCTATATGATTTCTGATAATTTCATTTTTACTTTTGTAATGCTAACTACAAATTAAAAAATATCGAGCTCTCTATGACCGGATTAAAGAATTCCTAATCAATCACACGGATGGATTGTAACACATCATTAATAATCGAGAACACGTACTTGGGGAGTTCGTAGGCGAACCTGCATAATCGATCACGGTGGGTAACCACAATCTCTCCGACAAGACCTTTGCACGATTGTTTCAGTAGGGTTTGCAGTCCTTTTTGATTCCTGACCATGATGAGTTCATAGGTTGGAAATCGGGAGCTGAGGAGTTATTTCTACCGTTCAAGGTCTTCTTTTTGCTTGACACTAGAGACCCGAGCGTATCGGAACCCTTTTTTGGTGGTGGTGGTGTTATCGGCATTTTGGGAAGTCAATTCTGGAAGAATGGAAGATATATTGTAAAGGCGAATACCAGAAGGAGACGTTATAGCAGTGATTATTCCTTGGACGCAAGGTGTATGACGAGATTCCAAGTTTCCTAGTTGCTTTATGTGCAGATAAATACACAAAGAAAGGAGGGATTCGATTTTGATATTGATAAATTGATAAGCATTGTAAATCAAACACGGTAATCGCACAATCAGCCAATAGGAAATTTTGTGATAAAACCTGATAAAAAAAAACGTCTCACTTTTTTTATCTAAATGACTAAATGGGAAATAAAAATAGTAAAATAACTACCCATGATCGTGCTGTACTTGATCTCCTAGTTCAGCGTGATAAGTTAAAGCAATATCAGAAAAAGGTATTACAACTTATGCTTGAACTAATTACCTTTACTCTTATTAATAAATTATTTTTCTCATTTGAAGATTCAAACAGTTGCGGAAAAAGAAACTCAAGTAGCAAAAGATGCATTACTTAAAAACAATAAACGTGTTGCACTTTTAGCTTTGAGAAAGAAGAAATATCAAGAACAATTACTTAGTAAAACTGATGCACAATTGTTGAACCTTGAGCAATTGGTTTGTATAAATTATTGTTAAATATAAACTTTATAAATTTTCATTAATTTATTTTTATTTTTATTTTTATTTAAAACAAAGACTCAATCGATAGAATTTGCATTAGTAGAAAAAGAACTGCTGGCAGGAATAGAACAAGGAAATTTAATTTTAAAAGAAATTCATAAAGAAATGTCTATTGACAAAGTTGAGAAATTGATGGAAGATACTGCAGATGCTATAGCTTATCAAGATGTAACTACCTCAATATGCTGTGTTAATTGATATTTTTGTTTGATAATAATATATTTTATTTAATAGGAAATTTCGGAATTATTAAGTGGAAAATTAACTAATGACGATGAAGACGAGATATTAGCTGAATTAGCTCAAATCGAAAAAGACCAAGTAAATAATTTTAAATGGTTTAAAATTATTTATAGAAAATTATTTTATTTATATTTGACTTTTTTTTTCTTCCCCTCTTCTTTAGCTTGTGGAAAATCTTCCTGCGGTTCCTGTGCAAGATTTTGTAAGTGAAGATATTACAGAAGATATTGAGGAATCAATTCCACAACAAAAAGTAAAAGTAAAGACACCACAGAAACAACTAGTGACCGCTTAGTTTATTAGAATTATAAGTGAAGAAGAGAGCTTAGAAGAAGCCTTGATAATATTGTATAATTAATTGTTTTTATTTAGTAATTTATTGTATATATAGCGTAATAATATTTTACAGCATTAATTTTTGCATCAAATAAATAAAACAAATGTTTATTAGTCTAACGGACAAAAAAAGTTAACTTTACAGGATAAAAAAATTTAATGAATAATTAAAATTATTAACTATCTGCGTTTCAAAGCTTCAAACCTTTTTGCCAATTCATCATCATCTGGTAAACCATTAGTTTTTGCTGTCGCTTTAAGATTAGTAGAATCGAGTTTTGAATACGGAGGTGGTGATGGGGGAACACGATGATTATTATCATTTTCATCATTATTATTATCATTAGATGGGTTTACGGGATGTAAAATAGGAGACGGAGCAACTCCTAATTTATTTTTTGTATTTGGGCCATCCGGAAGGAGATGATCTGAAGGATTTGAAGTTGATGTTGATGCCTTGGAAAGTGGTGAAATAAGGTAGGTCAATTTGACTGAAGAAAGTTGGTTGCTTGTCATCGTTTCTTCATTTTCGCCCGCTTACCGACTGATTATTTTTATCTTGAGTATCATTATTTAACGACATCAATAAATCCATATTTGGTAATGCAGTATACGTCGGTTCTGATTTTCCGTTTTTATTTGTAAGTGCTTGTGAATCCATCAACGCATCCATCTATGTGATTATTAACATTATTAAAATTCGTTGCAATTACGAATAATTTAATGTTACGAAAATTTACCGAAAGCAAACCATCTATATCTGCTATTTCCGCTTTCCAATCTACATTATACGTTTTAGCAATTTCCTCGAGATATCGATTTACCAAAAATGAATCGGGTGTATTGAACGAAAGTTTTTGTATAACCTATATAATTAATAAATTTAATAATAATGATAATAACAATTTTACAAATTAAATTTAATTATTCACCCTTTCACTAACACAATTACTTTTATTTTCACTCGCGTTCATCGCAAATTCTTTTCCATATTTCCCACATAGTTGGTCACGTATCTAAATAATACAATCAATTAAAATATTATTAATAATAGAAACACAAATATTGCATTAACTTATTACCTACTTGTCCCAATTCTTTTATTTCTGATCTAGGTGCAGCGTAAATCAATGTGTTTACTGCTTCAATTATTGATGGATCACATTGCCTATAAAGCAAAACTTTTTATTAATTAAAAAGAATATTTTAGAAAACACAAAAGTTTATTCTTACTTCATTTGTTCAATAAGTCCAAAACGTGCCATAAGAAGTTCGCAATAAAGCTCAAGAATTTCCATTGCTTCAATATGATAATCTTCTCGAATGATTCCCTCAACCTGAAGAGTTCACGAATAAAAACAAATTACATATTAATTTTCAACTGTAAAATAATAATGCTTTAGGGTATTTATGATTAAATCTACCCGTATTTTAGCACTTTCTAACTTTGAAGTTTCTAATAGAGTAGCAATTTCTCTACGTTGCTGTTTATTGATCGAATTTTTCTTTTGTTGCATATGTTTAAGTCGAGTAACAGCCAGTTTTAATTGAACCTTAAGCCTGTTTGGATTGTAAGGAGGCATTTTGTTTCTTGTAATTTTTTTTGGGAAATTAGGATAAAATTTTACCAAAGAAAATAACCCCGAATCCGATGGTTTCTGGTAAAACATGTCATTATCGTAGAAATAGAAAAGAAGTCCTGTATTTTTCCTATTCCGTATTGTTTGTGCGTCGTAATACGAATCTTTAATGACACGTTAAGATATGTGACTCATTAAGGCTTAAGCATTAAATGTTTATAATTTTTTAAAAAATCCTTTCGTAGGATTTTTACCTGTGAATCTTATGTACTAGGTAAAATTTGACATTGTACTATTCACAACCCTGTAAGACTTATATACAGTATATGCAACCTAAACTATTTTGCCAATGTTAAAAGTCAAAAGTACATATAATTACTACTTTCACTTTCTATACTTACTATCATTATCTATACAGTTTACTTTAGATGTAAAATAATTACTACATTTTATAATAATAATTACTACTATGTTAACATACTTTGGGTTATAATCTTATTCCTACACTTTTCTCTTTTATCTAAGAGATCACTTCTGTATTTCCATATAAGAGAAGATTTTTATCATATGTTTACCTTCATTGTATATTAGAAAGAATAATCCTTACTCAAAGTATAGAACCTTGATTGGTATTATAAATTATTCACATAATATTAGAGCTCACATGTTATATTCTAAAATATTAGAAGGTTTTCTGAAACCTAATAAAGAAACTGATCATGCTAATAATAAAATTGAGACCTTACCTTATAATGAAATTTTGCAGCAAGCTGTTATCTAAATATCATAAAATAATTCTTATTTATATTTACTTACAAATATTCTATTTGAAAATTATATATTATATGATCCTTTTTCATAAGCAAGACACATTCATTATGAAAATATATTACTAATTACTTCACATAAATTAGCAGTTCAAATTATGACTTTTCTAATATAGTTTATAATGAGAATTTCTATTATTTAAGATTAATGGTTTTATTCAAAAAAGTGAAACTAAACTCTGAAGATACTAATCTTTATACATAATTTGAATTTAAAATCTTATTCTTTTCAGATATATTTATAAATAGAAAGAAACATTTTTATGATTTTTTAATAGATCAATTTGTATTGGAAAATGATATCTAAATTAAAACTTATGATAAATAAATAAAATATTGATCTAAGGTAAAATTTCATTACTGTTAGCATTCTTGGTTATATTTATAGCTAGAAAAATTAAGTCACTATTAGAATATATAATATCTTTTTAAATAATAATATTTTAATGCTAATTACAATCATAATCTTTTATCTACAAGAAATTTAATTTAACCTAATACTTACTCTTCACTGAATATTATTAATAAACAAAAAACTATCTTAATTTTTACTTTTATATAAATAGGAGACATCTATTTTCACTAAAAGCAACTCTATTTGAATGCGATATTATAAAAAATTGGTCTATCTACTCTATTTATAACATTTAATATGATTAAAAATTGTTGGTCATATCTTTATAATATATACTCTAATAGTAACAATCAAGATACTTTACTTACAAATAGATCATTTTATTATGCTAATTATTTTGTTTATAAATTTCAATTCTTGAAAAAAAAACTATAAAAATCAGATTTTACTAGCTCTGATGAAATTACTAACTTTTTTGATCAAGTTAAATTTCAGAATAAAGGCATCACACATACATAATTACTGAACAACTAATATTATAAAAAATATAATTGCAAATAATGTAATTTGATCCACTATATCTGATTTTTTATATGAGTTTGAACTTTATACTGTTGTAATAATAACCAAATTCATATTTATAACTCAAAATATTAAAAATCAATACTTTAATATATTCTTATAATAATATGAAGAAAGTAATTATGTATATAAATGCTTAACAAAGATAAATTCCCTTTTATATTTCAATAATACTACTTTGAAATATACAGTATATTACAAATAAGGATTTACATAATATATAATTAAATATATTACCAAAAAAAAAACTTTCCTATATATTTAATATCTAAGAACATGATCTATTAAGAGAATATGGAATGAGTATTGCAAAATGAAACCAAATTATAAAAAAAAAACTTTTTTTAAAATAATTAAAGGATCAAATATCTAATTCACTTAGAAATAAAATTTTAAAATAATTTCAATTTGATCCCTTTTCATAGTACTTACCTTATATAATATTACATAATATCTTAATTCAATAGAACTTATGTTATTATTTCTAAAGTATCAGATTTTTTTACCACTGTCTAATTACTCATCATAAAACTATTTACTAGGGTTCTTCAAAATCAAATATTTAAACAATTTAAATTTGATTTGATTTTTTCAAATTGAATTAAATTAAATTAAATTGAACTCAAATATTTGATCGAATTAATTTGAATTAATTTGATTGATCAAATAAATCAAATTAAATCAAATATTTATCAAATTAAATCAAATCAAATCAAATATTTGATTAAATCAAATCAAATCAAATATTTGATTAAATCAAATCAAATCATATTAAATCAAATCAAATCAAATCAAATCAAATTAAATCAAATCAGATTAAATTAAATTAAATTAAATTGAATCGAATATAAAAATTTTTTAATTTTTATAATAATATATTAAAATAAAGTTATTCTAAAGTTTTAATTAAGAAAATTATTA